TAATGTGCTTGCAGCCTTAACCACAATGACTTCATTTTTATTTGTTTTTCTTTTGACATTTCTCAAACCCTTTGACTAAAACGAGTTTCCAACTTTGCATATGATACCTTGCTTTGTTTCTAAATCCTAAAAACTTCAGTATTTTCCAGGTTTATATAAAAATGTGTGTCAGTGTCATGATGAGGTGATGCTTTGCAAAATATGAGAAGAATCTGCTCCAGGTGCTTGATTTGAAAGAGAACTTCAAGGCAAATAAAATGATCAAAACATCAAAAAGTAAGCAAAGATCACTTTACTGTGTGATTTCAACAACATGACCAGGGGTCTCAAACTTTAATGAGGAGTGAGCCACTGCTGGCACTGTCATCTCATTGGAGGGCCACTTTAGTGTTCAAGCAGCACAAAACAAACAAACAAGAAAACACCCACAAACATTTCCGTAAATAGTGTTTTGTTTGTTTATTGAAATATTGTATAACAAGACAAAACTGCAAACATGAATGCAAGTTGTTTTTCAATAACTCTTAACTAACTGAAGCCTTTCATTGAACTACCAAATAAACAAACTGGTCCTCTCTTTCTGGCAGACACGTGGCAGCATTTCTGCTATTATTTTGTTCGTACCACTAGCCCGCAAGTGGCCCCGGGGCTGCAAGTTTGGAGCTACCACAATGACTCTGTCACACATCAGTCATGAGAAGAATTTAGTTCCTGTAGAAAGAGAAGAAAGTTATTTTTATATGTCAAGTGTAGAAATGAGTGCACTGAGTGAATTTGCTATTTTATGACATTTGTACACATATGCGTGAGTGTGTATTATTTCATGATACTGTTGAACAAAATTCAGTTGTTCACATATTCAACCAACTTAAAGAAGTCCAGACGCTTTTCTCTCCAAGCTCCTTAGACTACGATGACCTGGATGACTGAGGACCTTCACAGACAGGTGTTCACATTAAACTTAGTAACTCAGTGTAAATGCTGTACAAGGCAAAAATACTTCAACTATATTTTGTTTATTGATTGCATTTTTATAATTATTTTATTAATGATCAATGATGTGAAATATAATTATTTATTAATAAAGGTGATACCTGACAGTGCAGTGAGATATTTTAGCTCTGTGGCTGGTGCTCTTTGTTTTCTTTTTCTGCTTTTCTGTAATTTAGTTTTGTTGATTTATACCCACTTTGGGTGTACAATGAAAATTTCACACTAACGCACAAGAGTGAACTTCTTAATTTACAACAACAGTAACATGTGGTATTAGTTTGTGTAAAAGAAACCTCTACACATTTGCTTTGTAATGAGCACTAACAAATACTTCATAGGAAAAGGAAAATTTGAGATGATTGGTTGTTCTAGTTCACATGATCATGAACTCAAACTTCAGTTGTTTGTCTCCTCCATAATAAAACAGCTACACTAACAACACGTTGCTGTGATCAGACCCAGTAAGACCACTTCACATTTAACAGATACTAATGCTGTTTTATATACATTTTAATATACATTTAAAAAAATATTACTCAAGATTCTTTTATAATTTAACAAATATCTAGTTCTATATTTGATATATATTCTTAATATAATTTAAGAATCTAGTTTGAGAACATTTTGACAGCTCGAAGCAGTCTTAGCCTTTGTCCTCTAACCATTTTTTCTCAGTTCATGTGATTTCATTATATTTTTTATAACATTTCATATTATTCACATCTCCTCACCATCGTAGCAGATGAACCACATTTTATGGTCACATGAAACATCTGCCAGCTTATCTCTTTTTCTACGAATATCAACCTTTGTTGGTACATGCAAATACAGATTATTTATAAACAAACACAATGTACGGTGTGTTTATTTCAATTAATTTACTTATTTGTTTTTAAGCAGGTTAAAACTGTCATTAATTAAAATACACTGAAATTGTCATGTCTGCCCGGCCGGCTCCACAAGGCCACATGTGTTTTGTGTACATTCTCCTCTCTCCTCCCCGCCAGGGCGGAGCTCACTGCAGACTCCCGCCCTTGGCACACACACCTGCATCTCGTCAGGCTCTAATTATGGGTTGGACTCTTAAGGCCAGGACGCAGACAGCCTCACAGCTGGATGATTGTGCTAGACACGTCAGTAAACCTCAGCCTGGTATCCTTAAGCGTTGTGGACCTGCTGTGATCTCTGTGTAACCCTCTTTTCTTCTGTGCACAATTTTCCCGGAGCTGTGACCAACCTGTTGTTTGAACCGTTGTAAAGAAG